TCTCTCTCTCTCTCTCTCTCTCTCTCTCTCTCTCTCTCTCTCTCTCTTTTTCTCTCACTCTTAATCGACCCCATTACATTATTATTCCATAAGTTTCATGATACCTAACGTAAAAAAAATTTTGTTATTACTTTTTACCTTATTAAACGTATAGTATAATATTTAATAACTCTCGATCGTTATTTCACAGTATAGGTATTACGTTTCATAAGGAGAATTATTATTCAATTTGAAATATATTTAGTATATAATTTTTCAATAACTTTTATTTCACCTTTCATCGATTTCATAGTACTTTCAGCAAAATATTTCTATCAGAGCCACCCGCTGAAGATATTATGAAATCGATGAAAAGTGAAATAAAAGTTACTAAAAAATTATTGAATATATTTCAAAATAAATAATAATTTTTCTTTATGAAATATAATGTAAATAATGTGTGAAATATAAAGAAAGTTAAATTATACTATTAAAAAGTAATAATAAAATTTCTTCTATGTATCATCTTTTAGGTATCAAAATTTACTGAAATTAATTGAAAAAACTAAATTTTTACTGAAATATTGATGGAATGAACAATGCAATGGGGTCAATTGAGAGTGAATATTTTAGTTAGTAAAATTTTATTATATTTTTTGTAAAATATTTTTATCAGGGCTGTCTCAAATATTACCGCATATTTTGTATTATATTAATTAAACTTGAACTCTTATAACAGCTTCTAAAATTATGTGCTCGGTAATTTTACAGAGCTGTTCTCTGTGCTTTAAATGTGTCTCGCTTCTTTAGAGGTAAGAAGATTACGTTACTAAATTAAAAATTTTTTTTAATTTTCTTAGAACTCTTTCTTTCGTGAATTTGCTTCGAAGGATTCGTTTCATTTCAAGCAGGAATCTTAAGATCTCGATTACAAATTGCGGATGCTAATTCGTTTGTTTAGGAAGGCCGCAGAGGGATGTGGCACTTGATCTTCCTGTTAATCGGCAGCGCGATGGCCGGCGAATCCGGACCAGAGTCGCCGCCGGAGTTCTCCGACACGACGATCAAAATCGAGGCGCCGCTGCCTTACGAGGAGGCATTTCCGACTCCGCTTCCTGGTTTGCTGTATCCCAGAGAAAGTGAATCTCGAGAGGTAAAACTTACATGACGCGACAACGCTGGTCTTTTAATGCCACTCGAATCTAAATCCGAGATAACCGGCTTACGTTCTCACACTTCCATCGCGAATCTGAAAATAAATTCTCGTGTTGAGGAAGGCAATCCGTGCATGACATTTCAGCTTACCATTTACATTTCGCTTGTTAAAAATAATTTTATACATTTATCATTTTAATGAGAAATTTATTATATAACGTAAAATATATAAATTTATACGTTAAGGGGATCCTAAAGTGAAGGCTGAACTTCCTCGACGTCGGTAATGTCAACATTTCTAATTCTGTTTTCTTGTCATATATCTATATCTGTCCTTGTCTAACGGGAGGCATCTGTCTTTGTTCGATTACTGCGCCATCTCTTGCCACACGCAATATTGCTTATCCTGTCAACCTGAATGTGCTTTTGCACATATAAAAGTTATATAAAGTAATCTTTTTTTCTAGGTTTTCAATCTTAGATCTAATTGCACGATATTGTTCTTAAATGTTGTCCCTAGGTCATGCTGGTCTAATTTTGTGGATATTTATCGTGGAATTTTTGTACAAAGCAATATTGTCGTCACGTATACCAAAAATTAACAAAAATATTAATTTTTTTTCGTTTTCGATATAAATTTGACCACCATGACCTAGATTTTGATGCGTACTTTAATTCTAGACAAGAATTTTGCATTTCTATAAAGTCAATTAAAAGATTAGTGCTAAGAAAAAAAGCCGGTATTACAGACGGCTTTAGGATCCCCTTAATAAGCCGAAAGTAATTGAGGGCTCTCATTTTTTCCGCAAAACTATTGTTGCAATGCAATAGGGATGTAAGTATCATTAAGAAAAATGTTTTTTTCTTACACTTTTTATTTTAGTAATTTGGCAATTACTATTAGAATGTTATTTTTCTCAAAATGGAGTTTTCTTTACTTATATCTCTCTTGCATGGAGGCCTTCAATTACGTGCAATTAGATGAAAAATGTTATACAGTAAATATAAAATAAAGAGTGCTGAATATTTTTAAGGGTCCATATCCCTCAGTAGGTCCAAAAAAAAAGGTGATTTTTGTGAATTTTTTGTGGAGAAAGTAAACAAAATAAATCATTCAATATTTTTGGATTATATTTATGATACTTTTAAGTAGTTATAAAAATTTCTTTAGTCCATTTGGCGAAGCGGGATACTGTGATGGGCAACGGCGACCTGTGCGCGGAATATGTTGCTCCATGGCGGAAGTCCTCCAGGTCGTAAAATGTTTCTGAAATATCGAATCAATCGATTTTCCTGTTCAGTACAAGTGTCCCTATAGAGTAGACTACAATCATATCGATATATGCAATATTTAATTTTTTATAAGCAAAAAAGTATCGAAAATTTATAGTAAAAATTAATTTTTCTTTTTGAACTGCCGCTATTTTATGAATTTTTATTCAAAATAATTTTTTTTAGTCTACTCTATAGGGACATTTGTACTGAACAGGAAAATCGACTGATTCGATGTTTCAGACACATTTTACGACCTGGAGGACTTCCGCCATGGAGCAACCTATTCCGCGCGTTGCCTAGTATCCCGCTTCGTCAAATTATTTAAATGGGCTAAAAAAATTTGTATAACTACTTAAAAGTATCATAAATATAATCCAAAAATATTGAATGATTTATTTTATTCACTTTCTCCAAAAAAAATTCACAAAAATCACCTATTTTTTAGACCTACTGAGGTATATGGACCCTTAATTTCCTCGTACTTTCTGCAGATAAAATCGCTAGACGGATTATGGGATTTTGTCGTGTCGCCTGAAGGAGATGCGCTAAAGGGTTACACGGAAGGATGGTTCACCGATGACTTATCAAAGGTATCCATTTAATGTGAAATAATAATCGATAACGACAAATGTGAAAATTAATAAATTAGTAAATAAGTATTAAAAATTTTATCACATCAAATTGATATTAAATTTGTGAAAAAGACATAACAAAAAAAAACATAACAAATAATTCAATAAATAAAAAATTAATATCCAAAAAAGAGACACAACTGAACGAGATATTTACAATTACATAACAGACAGCGAGGTATTTAATTAATTAGTTTATTGCGCGCAATGACTCTAAATTAATCATCCATATTGAAATTTTCCGTATTCAGAATCAGCAGCGTTGCATTCTTTGTACCATTTTTTATAAACTATATGTAATACTATTACTAAATATTAAACTCATTCAATTTTTTTTAAATTCTGCTGGTAGAATATTTTCTTAAAAACTGTATAGAATTTTAAAAAAGTTTAGAAGAATCCACTATTCCACGAGTTTTTATTTTTTTATATATTTATTATTATTTATGAATTTTCTTTTATTTACTCGCTTTTACCATTTTTTATTGCTAATTCGCGTCCGACTTTTGCTGCAAGAGTCACGTGCATTTTATAATTTCGCGTAATTGCATGTTGTCCGTTCATTATTACTCCGTCATTAGTGAAGATCCGTTCGCGCAAGACATGACTGGCTTTACAGGTCGGCGAGATGATGAAGATGCCGGTGCCCTCGTCCTACAATGACATTACAACATCGCGTAACCTCAGAGACCACGTCGGGGCCGTGTGGTACCAGAGGACCTTCTTTGTGCCCTCCTCTTGGCGGGACCATCGCGTTTTCGTCAGATTTGGCTCGGTCCACTATCTCGCACAAGTAGTAAGCATCCACTACTCTTTTTCAATCCCAAAGTGATCCTTCGGGACTTTCCTGAAGTACAACTTATTGAAAATCCATTGGAGAATACCTAAAAAGATAAATATAAAACAAAATAAAAAGAGAAAGAGGTAAAAGATAAAGGGAGTGGGGGGGCAATTCAACAATACTCCAATCTTATATGTTAAAACATTCTTCTAAACAAAGAATATATAGATTGTGTTTAAAGAGACTACAACATATTTCAAGACAAATATTAATTTTAATGTAATTTTTGTCAAAATGCACTTAAAGTTCAAATTTAAATTACAAGATGCATATCAATGTGGCTCACGAGCGAGTTGTGTGTGTCTTGATGTAGTGGGTGAACAACGCTTTAGTGACCAATCACGAAATGGGCCACTTGCCCTTCGAAGCTGAGATCTCGTCGTACGTGTCCTTCGGCGGCAAGAACCGCATTACCGTCGCCGTGGATAACACTCTACTGCAGACCAGCGTGCCCCAGGGCACAATCATGGAGATGGTCACCGACAACGGCACCACGCACTTGCAGACTTACACCTTCGATTTCTTCAACTACGCCGGCATACACAGGTAAAAATTTAATTAGTTAAAACAAGAAGAATAATCAAACAATCAAAGATCAATTTTTTATATTCTTCTTCTTTATTTAACAATATTTTATATTCTTTATATTTTTATTAGAAATATATTAGAAATATATTTTAACAAAACGCTTAATGCAACTATAATGCCCGATCTACAATAGCTGTAGTAAGCTGTAGTAAGCCTCAACCCGTAAGAAATTAACCAATTACAGGCGAATGTGAGGAGAATAATCGACTGTGATTGGTCAATTTCTTACATCTTGAGGCTTACTACAGTTTACTACAGCTATTGTAGATCGGGCATAAATGACACATATATAAGAGAAATATTTTTTAAACTTTAACAGTATTTCTTTCTCGTTTAATTAACATTTAATTTGTACAAATAAGTATCTCTCAATTCTTTTTGGTTTATTTATTTTTCTCTTTGTCTCAAAAATAAATAGTTTAACAGGGACCGAAAGAATCTCATTTTGAGTCCAAATTTAATCTCTCCAATTCTCGAAATCAAAATCAATGTAAAGATACAAGTTCAGCACAATTATTGGGCAAAGAGAGAATGCATGAGTAATGCAGGTGTAATCGCGTTGTCCCGCTTCGCTGTTATAAAGAATCTTTTGAGTTCTCTGAAGCGACACGCGCGAATTTCACTCGCCACAAATAGATCTCTATCAAGGGCTTTGTGGAAAAGCTATATAGAAAGAACATTCAATGCGTTACGCATTACAATCGAGGCTACAAGAGACACGATCATGAGATTTTAGCTCTTCCACGAAAAAGTTTCTATGGCATAGAAAAATAAAGATGAACAATTTGATTATTTTAATCACATATAATAATTCGAGATAATTATACAGCTTCTCCGACAATTTAAGCGAATCATAATTAATATAAAAATACAAACACAATACAGAAAAATTATTCATAGGAAAATTACAACACTTGTAATAATTAAACAACTCCATCAGAATATCTTATTTATTTTAATTTTTATGTGAATTAGATTTAGATAATATATTTTTAATTTATTTATTTTGTAATTTATTATTCTGCATAAAAGTATATTCTACATCCTCGTAATAATTATAATTAAAACTAGGTCTACTTACTAAATAATCCTAATAATCAAAATTGAAGACAATATTTTTATATCTACTAATTTTTTATATTTGAGATCTTGTATTTATTAAGTCAGAATGCACGATACTAATTTTGCTTGCGACCCCATTGCTTTTAATTAATAAAACTTTATTGGAACGCTCTGCGAAGGTCCGTTTTGCTGTACACCACGCCGCGCGTCTACGTCGAAGACATCACGGTGAGAACGAACCTGATCGGCGACATGGGAATTGTCAAGTACATCATACAGCCGGCTGGCCTGCGCGAGGGAGAAATACCTGTCTGCAGAGTCACGTTGCACGACGCCGAGCATACCTTGGCCATCAAGGAGCCCGTTTACGGCCTGTCCGGTACCCTGAAGGTCCCGCTCGCCAGACTCTGGTGGCCCAGAGGCATGGACCCCAAGCCGGGATACTTGTACACTTTGGAGGTATAATAAGGCCTGTGATATTCGATCGGTGATTGCTTATATGCAGATGCCTTAATAGCGTCCTGGTTCGAAGCAAAGTCGACTCCGAATCGATTACAAAAAAGAAAAAACGTTATAGAAAAGTGGGACACCGTTTAGAAAATTATACGTGACTGAAATATTTAACTCGTACAAATCGATCTTGAGTTCTGTTTGCGAAACGACGCGTCGCTTTTTCAGGTGAGACTGTCAGTGGCGAATGTCAGCAAATCGGACATCTATCGATTGCCGATCGGCATCAGGACACTCGCGTGGACCAACACGAGTCTCCTGTTGAACGACCGACCGGTGTACATGCGCGGCTTCGGCAGACACGAGGACTCGGTTATCAGAGGGCGCGGTTTCGACCTCGTCACCACTGTCAGGGATCACGAGTTGCTTCAGTGGGTCGGCGCTAATGCCTACAGGACCAGTCACTATCCTTACAGCGACGAGGTCCTCGATATGGCCGACAGGTACCGAGAATACGTTTCCTAGAGTTATCTGATAGGCTAATACGTTTACTTTCTTTACCTTCCAGTTTTCTCTCTTACGCATAATTTATTCTATTTCAAACTCTGTTAAGTGTTAACTTCAATTTTGAAGATTGGGTTTTCTCGTGATCGACGAGTGTCCTTCCGTCGATACGGAGAATTATTCGCCGTCGTTACTCTCGCGTCACAAGGACTCGCTGTCGGAGCTCATCCGCAGGGACAAGAATCGACCCTCCGTGATTATGTGGTCTTTGGCTAACGAACCGAGGACCCAGCTGCCTCAGGCTGAGGAGTACTTCAAGCAGATCGCCCATCATACCAAAGCGATCGATCCTACCAGGCCGGTCACCATCGCTCTTGCTCGAGGAGTGCAGGTAACGTAATAAACAAATAAACATATGAAAAGATAAAAATAAATTTTTAAAAATAAATAATTATTTTACAAAAGACGTAAAATCCTCCCGTAATATTTTCTAAAGAGAAGAGAAAAAGTGAAACTGAATTTCTTAATTTTCAACATCGAACGTTTTTGCAGCTAAATCAAGCTGAAATTATATCAGATAAAAGTTAATAATGTTAATGAAACTTTGTTTTTCTAATTATAATTTAATCTATCCAAGAGTTTTAATTTTTATCACAATTGTTTGTAACATGAAATAAAATTGCTGATAAATAGATACTGTGTATAATTTTAGGAGGACAAAGCTGGTCAGTTTCTCGATGTGATTAGCTTCAATCGATACAACGCTTGGTACAACAACGCCGGCAGAATGGACATGATCACTGGCAGAGTTCAAGGGGAAGCCGAGGCCTGGCACAGAAAATATAACAAGCCAGTACTTATGTCCGAGTACGGAGCCGATACTATGCCCGGTCTACATGAGGTAAAACTCTCTCTATATTCACAAAAGCCCTTTCTTTATACATATAATAAATTATATTTATTCCATATTTATTTAACACATATTAATCTCTCATCGCGCTTTAATCTTATTACAAAAATGAAAATATATAACTACATATGCAAATAAAAAGTGTACAAAAGAAACAAGGTCCAAAATTAACATAAGAGTGTAAAAAGAAATATACACATAGAGGAGAGCTATAAATGTAAATAATTACAATGAAAAATAAATATAAAAGAATAAGAAAGAATAAAATGGGAATATAAAATAATTATACAATTTCGTTTAATAAACTTTTGTGCTATTATTACATCGTAAATTATTTTTTTTTATTTATTTTGTAATTTACACGCATTAATTCTATGTTAATTATTATGTTAATTTTATGTTATTTAACTTGTAATGTATATACATTGATTCTATGTTAATTATTATGTTAATTCTGTTATTTAATTTGTAATTTATACACATAAATTCTGTGTTAATTATTTGCAGCTACCGGAATACGTATGGAGCGAGGAATACCAGAAAGAATTATTCTCCAGACACTTCAAAGCCTTCGATCAATTGCGACGCGAGGGCTTCTTTATCGGCGAATTCATCTGGAACTTTGCCGATTTCCGCACTGCGCAAAGTGAGTATCAAATGAAGTCACATTTACTAATTTATTATTATAATATTTATTACTCCAGAACAATTTAATGCTGATCGTATCAGATATTATTACGGAAACACTTGTACGGATTATAATAAAGTTCATGCATTTTTTTTCATTATTTCTACGTATAATTATAATTGAATACAGCTAATATTCTTCTAATTAATTGAATAAATAGCTTTAATTTACTAGCACTAATAGTTTTTAAATTTAAGAGAGGTTATTCAAATATCAGCTTGATATCGAATAATGTGTGACTTAAAACGCTTTTCATTAATAATACTCGTCGACGTTTGCGCATTGCAGCATATACCAGAGTGGGCGGCAACAAGAAGGGAATCTTTACGAGAGACAGACAGCCGAAAATGGCAGCCCATCACGTTAGGAGGAGATACCATGCGCTCTCAGTCGAACTGGACGGCGCGCAGATACCGGAGGATGTCGAAAATTACATTTCATCCTATTATTCTCACTTAGAACTCTGACTGAATTTAAAAAGAGAAAAAATTGAAGTGCGAGAATTGCTTCGCAAGGTCTTAATTTTTGACAAAACTGCATTTTCATTTTGTGCATCGAGACACAAAGGTTGCACCGATAACTTAACATAGACTTATTCACCTAATGTACGCATACTCTATCATAAAATCATTTGTATCCATTATATCCATCTGTACCCATTTTCTACGAGAAAAATATAAATCCTCCATTTATTCATCTAAGACTTGTTCACATTCGTTCATATGACAAGAAAAACTCCATTTTCGCACTCATCTGACATAAATCTGACATAAACTTTTATATCTGATATACTTTTGCGATGTACATAAATATTTAAATTAAAAAAAAAACAGCATTTTCCCGTCTTGACATTTTTGTACAATTCGTAAAATATATTTACAAGCTGTATTAAAAATAACGCCCTTTTCTAACGTATCACAGCCTTGTTCGATGCAATAACGATGTACATTCAGAAGTTGTTTAGCATGGCTTAGCATTGTCTGGCGGTTCCACGATCTGCAGACAAGCATCTGCCATCTCCAAGAATATAGGCTCCTTCATGGCTGACGCGATCGCCTCGGTAGGATTTGAACTGTCCACAACTGCCTTCATAATGTCACGCAAGTAGGGATTCTGGAGACACTTTATCAGTTCCTTGCTGTCACACAATTGTCGCAGCTTCTCCATAGGCACTGTATCTTCCGTTGGAAAATCATACCTCCGTTCAGTGACCCTTCGATATTCCTTGGGTTTCTCAGGTAACACTGGAGGCTCGCAAGGTTGAGTTTTGTGCTCTCTGCAACATCCCACAGAACAACTGAAATACAAAAATTAAATTAGTTTTAAAAGACATATGGAGGCATATAATCAATATATTAGATATACAATAAAAAAATAAATAAAAATAATTAAGCTCAAATAAAAAGTAAGAAAGGAAAAGATCCTTTATTAGGCTTATTATAATTATATATTGTATTTCTATTTCCAATAAGTTACACAAAAAATTGACATGTTTACTGTTACCTTTTTGTATTGTCGAAAAGTAACCTCATAAATTTTGAAGACATATTTAAATTTTATACAGAATATTTTCGTATTTATTTCAGAAAGCACATAACCTTAAGAAGATAGGATAACCTCAATCTGCAAGCAGTTATACTTACTAAAATTCCCTGCACCTCGGACATTTGTAAGCTGCACCGTCCTTTCCGCAAACACAACAATTTCTGATTGTCTGATTCATCTCAGTTCATGACTCAATTAATTTACCATGCAAGTACATACACCGTTCGATATATAAAAATATCGGAGCACATGTCACGAATGTATTTTTATCCTACCACGTGATCCACGATCCACGAGCATGCGCCATCTGCCCTGCCGCTTCCCGGTCGATGAAAGAAGTAAATTTAAAATATTTATTCACAAATAATTTTCATTTATTTTCCTCTTTCTTAGATGTTTATCAAGAAATAAAATAGGAATTTCAGTATAATAATGCATTGTTTGTAGTTTTTCTAACACTTTTAACGTGCAATATTCAGCAGAAGCTATCTCTATATTCTATAATCTCTATATAAATATACATATATAAAATTGACATTACACATTTTCACCTACTTTTTGTGTATATTTTTGTTGCGCAGTTAGAAGTAATTTCGAGAAATTTTTAACTAACTTTATTAATCATTAGTCAAGAGTCATATTATTTATTAAATCAAATTCATTTAAAGCTTTATTTATAAAAAATATAAATCAATATCAATTCGGTTCAATAACGATTTTTGTAAACAAAGAAAATAATTATTTAAAAAAAATCGCTTATTTTAAACGACTGCAGAGTTTCAAGAATTCTGCATGATTCTGAGGATTAATAAATTGTTAGTCTTCTGCATGTCATCCCTTTTCGTTACAGTATGTCTAAACTCAACATGAAACTGTCCACAGGAATTTATAATAATAATTAATTCTTTAGAAGCTTTTATCGTTGACGATTCTCAAAGATCAGATTTTTATGTAACTAAAATCGGTAGCGTTAGGAAAGTAGCGTTCGCGCGAACGCATCGTGGCGAAGAGAGAAATTACGAAGCGGGACGACGTATTTCGATGAGGAGGAGGCGGAACTGGCCTGGATCTCTAAACGCGATCTCGTGGCGGATAACGATGGAAATTCGCATTCTTGCGGCGCGAGAGTATACACGTACGTACGTCACTCGCGTGCCGGACACGGTGCGTCAACCGTACACGCGCGATTCCAACGTGATTTTATTTCACATCACGCGAGAATCGAATCTCGCCTCGGCGGTTTTACCTCGCACGGGAAACGGATCCCGGTTTCGTTTCGCGACGCGATCCGAATTCCTGCCCTCGGCGCGGCACGAACCAAATTTCATTATCTTAAATTTCAACTTTATTTTATTATCTGAAATTTTTATATTTTTTTCACAACTTTCATACCCTGTATTTTGAAAACAAAAAGCAGTTTATGTTTATAGGACCTTTTCTCTCTAAAATAAGCCACGGAATAGCCTCTTCAATTTTTTGTACTTACTTTTAGGAAAGACACCCTATATATAGTTACAACACGATAGGGGATTATTTTCACATAAATCAAAGTAAAGATTGCAATATTTATTAGTAAAATCCTCTTCTAAAATATATAAAATAATGCATAACTGTATAATTAAATTAAATATTTGAAGGGTACAGAGGAAAAACGATATTCATCCGAAGTAATTTCGAAAAAAACGCAATTTCAAGTTTCAAGACATCAAATATCTTAGGATCGAAGCTATTGGAAAAGATACTGGCAGCGAATATCGGTACGCATCGTGTTTATATTTAGTGTTTACATTGTATGTTGGACTCTGATGGTTCTTCGCTCCATCACAAACACGTACGTAGACTATGATCGTTTTTCCTCAGCACGATATCTTTCGACCTTATTTCCAATAAATTGTAACTATTCTTGATCAAAACAAATAAGAATTATGAAAGTTTGAAAATGCCACGGGATAGCATGTTCAGATCAATTTCGACAAAAAGTGGACTTTAATTTTTCCCTCTCTATACCCTTCATATTTAATTATAATTAATATATAATATATTTATATAGTTTCAAAACTACACTACCGAGACTAGAATCGCCAACGTGAATTGTCATCGTTGTTGAAAGCTCTCGATGTTGAAACTTTCCTCCCGGGGCCGGTGACCATGAGTAGAGCTCGCGCGCCCAAGGTCATTGATTCCACCGGCAGTTCCGGCTCGGTTTCTGGGCCAGGTTAACCGACGGTCCCGCGACGGCGACGTCCGGAATACCTTCGCTCGCCGTGACGTCGGCTCAGCCCGATACGGCGGACCGATAATAAACCGGCATAATTCAGCGACGGACTCGAACTCGTCCGAACCCGTCCGAAGTTCTAACGCGAATTCAAGGCCCTCCAATTCTTCCCTCCAACAAATTGCCAAACGATTGAATTTGATTAAAAGATATCAAAATTAATTTCCACAAGAAATGGTTGCTTCCGCGAACGTTTGTGGATCGATATCTCAAGTGAAAGTGATCCCTTAGAACCCAGACAGCACCACGTCCAAAATCGGGGCATAAGATGTCTCAAAGATGTCTCAAAGGTGTCTTTAAGACGTCCTATGTCCCGATTTTGGGCATGCTGTCTGGGAATTTTCTCAGAAAATAAGCTCAACTACATTAATTATTAAAATTGCTGTAATTGAACTTGAGATCAATAATAAAATGAACAATTCTGCCAAGTTCCAACTTGTAGTTCGCTCAGCTAACGTGAATTACGGCCTTGCCGGCATCATCGGGGGGCCTCACTCGCGAGCATTCTGCGCGAAATGCGAGTTGGCCATTCATTCACGTCTGAGTCCTCGTTCAGCGGCGGGGCATTGACGCAGCGGCATGACACGTGCGAATTTAATCCTTTGGGACCTAGAAAAAGACTTGAGAAAAGAGTCTCCGAAAGTCCGAACGTCACATGCAAAATGACGATCTCACGGATACTCTCGTCGCTCTGATAAATAAACGAATGTAACGGATTAAACTTCAATGCCAGATTAATTCTCGATAACAAAGAAAAGAATAATCAAACTTTCACCGGCCTTTAATTAAGCAACTTTGTAATCGGCTTTAACATATAAGTTTAAGACAGGAGAAGCTTCTCTCTCGTTCTTCTTATTCAAGTCGAGAATTATTGAAAGTTAATTGCTATAAATTAATAAAGCTAGTTTCTGCGATATGGAGGTCGTTGACCGCGTTCGACGGCGCGGCGCTTCTTCGCTCTTAATTGACTACATAAATCGCAGAGCAAATAATAAAAGCGAGCTCGTGCCCGAAGATGGTACGCGGGTTTACCTTGAGGAGGTCGCGGTGCGTCAATCTGGTTGTTCTCTTCTTCTTCTTTCCATCTATGACGACAGGCGAATGCGATGACCCAGCGCAGCGCCAGGAAATCCACGTCCGGATAGTCGTGCCGAATCGCGATTGTACGTGTCTCAGATCTCAGATTACCTCGGTTGTACGGCACTTAAAAGCCCAACGATTATATAATAACAGCGTACCATTATAATTAAATTTATTATCATGATTGGAAATTATTACATTTATTAATTTCAAAGTATAAATTTAAAATTATTAAATCTGTTATGCGTCACAATTATATTTATTTTCGAATTATCTCCGATAATATGGATTATTATTTAGATTTAAGTGTACCAAAATTAAAAAAATAATGATTTATTATTGAAGATTCCAGACTCTGTGTAAAAAGCTCGTAAAAATCTGAAAACTACATTTTCTTTTGTTTAATTAATATTAATTATATAAATATATAAAAAATATAAACACTCAGACCGCACGCATGACTAAAACTGCGAAATGAAACGTCCGGTCCTAAAGACGTCTTATTTCTCAATTTTAGACATGTATGCTGTCTGAATGTTTATTTTATATAATTAACATTAATTAAACAGAAGAAAATGTAGTTTCGAGATTTTTACGAGCTTTTTACAGAATCTGGCGTTTTCAATAACAAATAATT